TTGCGTTATCACTTTTTATTCTGAGTTTAGAGTGTTTTGGGTGGTAAATCCACGTGCATATGGTGACGCAAAAGTGTGAGAAATTCAATGTAGTGAGCACTCCAGGCAGCTAGGTGGCAATGTGGAGCACTGCCACACAACAACACCAAGTCTGCGCGCCTGCGTACAACCTTCACTGTCAAGCAGACTTTGTTGTTTTTACCCTTTACACAGGAACGCGGCGGTGGAGCGTTTTTAAGATATCCACTCTATAGACCATTTTGCAAGATGTAAACAACACTGGTCCAGAAGCACTTCCTGTTTCAGTTTTTTAACACTACATAAAAGCTGGGATAAAATACAACCAACAGAACTTATAAAACTGAATCAAAAAGTTAAACAAACATCTTTAAGATGTTTTATTTACATGTGAAATAAAGAAAACAGTTACAAAATGAAACAGGAAGTGTTGTTTACATCTTGCAAAATGGTCTATAGGGTGGTTTCACTTTTTTGCGTTTTTAAGCCCCCAAAACGCCGTCACCGTGTAAATGAAAAGCACATCCGATAAAATATTTTTACGTTTTTACCCACGAGCATTCGTGTAAACAGGGCCTCAGTTTATATCACAGCTCGGCCAGAGCTGTTGAGCTCAGTAAAGCCGCAGTTCCTCATTGGACCGGAGCAGATTCTGTCCACTAGGGCGGTTCGCGTGACATTAACGAGAAACCAGAGTGCATTCACCCCAACGTAAAACATATTTACACTTTCTGAATCGTTCTCTATCCTCTATATAGTGCACTATGTGCCATTCACCGTATAGAAAATAGTAAATGTGTGAAGAGTGTATATCAGTGAAATATCCGATTTTAGTTGCAGCTTCAGCGTCTATAGAGTGCCGAAGTTACGACGTCACTCTGTAGGCCAAAACGCGGCAGTGAGTTAGCATTTTAGCACTCCCGGTTCCCTTGCTCTAAAGTCTATGGGATTTTTGAATGGGTTTTTGCTAAATCGCCTGAAATAAGGTCTGTGGTGAACAAAGCCTCTAAATATTTTCACGTTTTGATCTATGACATATCCCACTTGTGTTTTTTTAAAAACTTTATATAGGCTTCAAAATGTATAAATTTTGGATAAACACAGATCTTATTTTTTGCGATTTTCCAAAAGTCTATGGGGAAAATGCATTGAATGCTTTTTTCGATTGAGGGAACCATGCGCCACTATGCGGCACTCTATCTATAATGTAGGGGGCGGAGCTTCAGATTGCAGAGAGCATTTGATTGGACAGAAAATCTGATGAAAAGCTAAAGTGCAGAGTGATATCATCAAAACCATTGATCCATATTGGCAGAAGTGAGAGACAGTAAGTTTTGAACGCTTATATCTCCTAAATGTGAATTTTGTCATTTCTTTGGCACACACTAGCTTATAGATAACAGTAGGGCTAACATAGTCATACTAAAAGCCCAATTTTGATTTCATGGGGACTCTCACAATCTGTATGAATTGACCTTTTTGTGGCATGAGCTGCTTTGGGTGCAGCTTCTGTGCCTCCTTGTACAGTACATTAATTTCAAAGACAATACAACCAGGAGCAATGAATGGTCAATGCAGGCACCAACATAACCTACTGTTTGCATTTAACCTTAATATGACTTAAATGCCCTGCCCCTCAGATAGTAACTAATACCACTGTACATCACCTCAGACTATTCCTTGTATGCTGCAGAACAAGTCATGCATGACATGTTTTACACTACAAGTACACTGCTGCTAATTCAAGAATCAAGACACATACTATGACTGGAGCTTTAACATGGACGGGTATTTCTTTAATGACTTTACCGCATTGTTGACCAATATTCCCATCACCGTTAACACCCAGCGCTGTTTATTCGCATCTCCTTACATGTCTAATGTCCATGCCCCCTATTTAATGTTGTCTTCCATTCAGGCCTGACACTTTATTTGAGCTTACAAGCAACTTTCCTCAGTGTGGTCCAATGTGCAGTGTGTTGGAAAATGCAGCACAGTGCAAATATAAATACCAGGCCTTTATTAAACACAAAACAAACGCAGCTGACATTTAAAATAAGCACTCCACCACTGACACTCGACAGTGAAATATCGGCTCAAGACACGGCCCAGAAATGACTGCAGTGTGTGTCCAGCAAAAGGCCGGTCGCTGCATTCACCATACAGCAATCAACGGACATTACAACAATGTGTGTGTGAATCACTGTTCTCCAGTAACGTTACACGTATGCGATTCACTGCGTCCTACCTGCACACCCACTCCTAAGGATGAATGATTATTCCACAGATCAATGCAGTAAGATGCTTCTCACGCGGTGTATGAATAATCCCGGGTGGATTCAGCGCTGTGTGTTTTCTCTGGCATACTTCAGTCAGGTACACGGCGCGCGGATGCGATGATGAGAAGAAGGGGATGCGTGGCGCAAAACGACACTCGCTACATTCGATGACACCGGTCAGTACGCGGCTTCTTCAAGGGTGATGTCACGCGCATCACATTCAAAATGTGTCTGAGGCCAGATTTGCTTGCTCGGTCAGATCGCCGGTGTGCTCGGATATCCCGTGCACCGGATACACGCGCGCGCTCCCTATCTCTCTCTCTCTCTCTCTCCTCTCTCTCTCTCTCTCTCTCTCTCTCTCTCTCTCTCTCTCTCTGCGCTCTCAATAACGCGGAGGATACAGCAGCAGTGGGAAGCCACGTGTGCGCGCGCATACACACACACTCACACACCTTTGTGAGGACTATAGCCTTCTTTAAATTAAGCTTATTACAAATATAGACTACAACTCTTCTGAAAATATCAGTCTACAATTATATGAACTTGACTGACTAAACACAGACTAAAAAAGTGCCCCAAAATCCCTCTAAAATTAGCCCATGCATGGACTTCGATATACATGCAATTTCATAATTTCCGCTGTCTTTGAAACATTGTTAAAGTATTATTGGATGTACTGATCTAGCATTTATGGTGAATTAAAATGTACTTTATTGTTATTTCTGTTGATATTTTATGCTGTCAAATATTTGTAGATATATTTAGAAACATGAAAGTATTTTATTATAGGTTACACCTTTTATAATATTTGAAAGAAAAGTTTTTTTAAACATAATTTTAAGTGCACATTCGATTCAATTAAGCACCCCCTTTTTAACAAGGATCAGTCATCTTAACGTGGTCCTCTGTTTCATACTTTATTATGGGGTAAATATAGTAGGCTATTTAAGGTATAGCCTAAAGCAGATTCTAGAAGTTCGGTAGGTTAAATTAATATATCATATATTCATCAAACAGCCTATGCCTATATAGAAGCACCAAAACATGATTTTTTAACCCAGATTTGTAAAGCCATCCTCTCTAGTATGTGGATGGTACAAAGACTTTACTCTCCTTAAACCACTAGATGGCACAAACATATTCACTTCTTTCTTGAAGGGTTGGTTCAACAAAATGAAAATTCTGTCATTAATTACTCCTCACGTCATTCCAAACCCGTAAATTAATTTGAAAAAAAGTTCATATAGAGATTGTAAAGAGAATCCATTTGAACGGTTTAGTCCAAATTTTCTGAAGAGACACACTCACTTAATATGATGAACAGATTTAATTTCGACTTTTATTCCCAAATAAACATTCATCAGCGCACACATCATCTGTGGTAATGAAGCTCAAGCATGCATGTTCTCTTGACTTGTGAGAACCAATGAGGTTCGTTCTCGTGTTATGCAGCACGTTTGAGCTTCTGCAAGCAAGAACCAATGAGGTTCGTTCTTGTGTTATGCAGCACGTTTGAGCTTCTGCAAGAACCAATGAGGTTCATTCTCGTGTTACGCATTTGAGCTTCTGCAAGAACCAATGAAGTTTGTTCTCCTGTTAGGCAGCACGTTTGAGCTTCTGTAAGAACCAATGAGGTTCATTCTCGTGTTACGCAGCACGTTTGAGCTTTTGCAAGAACCAATGAGATTCATTCTCGTTTGAGCTTCTGCAAGAACTAATGAGGTTCATTCTCGTGTTACGCATCACGTTTGAGCTTCTGCAAGTACCAATGAGGTTCATTCTCGTGTTACGCATCATGTTTGAGCTTCTGCAAGAACCAATGAGGTTCATTCTTGTAAGTCAAGCAGGTTCAGTTGAGCTTCTGTTGTTGTTCGCTGATCAATGTTTAAATGTCAGTAAAAGCCTAAATTAAATCATATTAAGTGATTGTGTCTCTTTATAAAAATTTGGACTAAATCATTCATTTAACAATCTCTTTATGAACTTTTTGAAGCATCAAAGTGTCAGTTGCGTAGCGGTCTATGGAGGGACAGAAAGTTCTCAGATTTCATCAAAAATATATTCATTTGTGTTCTGAAGATGAACTAAAGTTTTACAGGTTTGGAACAACATGAGGGAGAGTATTTAAAGACAGAATATTCATTTTTGGGTGAACACTCTTTAAGGTGTTCCTTAGCCCCGTTGTAGGCTACCCTATACATTGTAATTTACTAACCATAGACATTAGACACAGTAGGAACACAACAGTAGGAACAAGACAACACACAAATTATGCTAATCTAAGCTAGTCATAAAATCATGGTATTAAAATTAACTAAAAGTGTGAAAAGTCTAAAAACAATGACTGATTATAAATAACCCATTATATTCTGAAAGGTAGTCAAAAATTGGTCCAAAATACTAAGTCATATTTCAGTGAGCTATTAAGAAGGCATTTCACCTTTAAAAACGTTTAAAAGGAGCTCGATTCAGTTATAGGCGTGTGTTACATGAGATATGATTTGGTTACGTTCATTCACCCACCCAACGACAAGTCCCGCCCTTAACCTGGTCATTCTTGGCTATGATTGGTCAGTGCTAGTTAGAAGCATTCAACGATTGGACAGATCAGAAGTCATTTCATGTAGCCGTAGAAACAACAGCAAACAGATATCAAATCAAGGGCGGGGCTTATCAGAATTCTAGTGGGGACAAAAAAAACGCCCCTTTAGTTTGTAAGACCGTCCAAGGAGTTCCGTAGCCTACATGACAGCACTGACATAACATTGAAGATCAGGATTTCAGCTAGACATACTTGTGACTGAGCTTGGGGTTGTACGTTAAAACCTCTGTTTCCAAGTGGAATCGACCGAGAGCCTTTCTACTCGCCGATATGTCTGATGCTATTAAAAATGTGGCAATATTCGGCAGCACGGGGATGACGGGGTTAGCGACCTTACCTATCGCAGTGACCGCAGGTAACGTTAAACTCTTACACAATGACATCTGGCCTGGGACAGAGCTGATATTTTTTCCACAATATTTCACTGCAGCAGCAGCTGTCTTTGACCTAGCAAAGATGTTATAAAACAGAAACTGTTGTGTCGAAAATTGTAAAAGTGAATGAAAACAGGATTAATATTATCATTATGAGTTGTATATTAACAAGTGTTAATTTTGATTTTGCTAAGATTGACATTTTGTTAAAATTATATATTTGTTTTATTTGTTTTGCTAACAGCTACTTTATGCATTGAGATCACGAGACGTTTGCGAAACTTCGCAGTCATGCATAATAACTCATCTGCTGAGTCAGTGTCGTTATGCATTTTTAAGATAAGAATGTGACCCCCTCTTGTCTGTTTTTATCTGGACATTGCACAGGTCTGAATCCACTTGCCTCCACTTTAGCTGGATTATTGTCAGTTTTGTTTAGGGTAAACAAGATGAAAATATACAGATATGTAATTTTCCATGAATATAATACAAATTAGTGCCAAAATAAATTTTCAGTTAACATATGTACTTTTTGAAAATATGATAATCTCAATTTAAGAAAAAAAAAATGTTTGGCTTTACTTAGCTTGATCATCCTGACCATACAGACATCTTGCATGATCTATTTTGCCGATTCTTCTGACGTCTTCGATTATTTGCGGTTCCAGGTTACAATGTGACTGTGCTGGTGAGAGACGCTGCAAGGCTTCCTTCAGACCACAAGGCTTCCAGAGTGGTAGTGGGAGATGTTCTGAACAAAGAAGATGTGAAGAAGACCCTGGAGGGTCAGGATGCAGTCATCATCATTCTGGGGACAAGAAATGATCTCAGTGAGTTTACTTAACCTAGAAACAAATTCACTTATTATTGTAGGTCATATACAGACCATTACAAGATATGATTGAATTTTACTCAAAATTTTAAGTAACGTCAGCATGAAAACCCTATTTTATTGATGTAATTTAGGGTGTGTTCACACTTGTAGTTCGGTTCTCAAAAAATGAGTCCTGATCCCGCTTACCATTTACAATGGCATTTTAACACCGAACCTAAAGGCATAGGGTTATGTTCACAACTTGATTGGTCAATTTGTATTACGTATTGTATATTTTGCAACAGACCTTATCGGACACCCAAAACAATGCTGTGTTCTGGGCTAAATGCGCTCGTTGTTTGTGCGTAGCTACATATGATGGTATTTTGACCAACTGAGAACTCGTGAAGAGTTTATAAAATGTGTAAAGGAGTCAAAACAGCGACAGGAATCAATTCCTCACACACAAACGAAGCTCTTCTGCTGGGAGACGCGGTTCTGATGCCTGTAATGGGCAACATCATTGTGACTATGATGAGAAAAATATGTTTGTTTGGAAGTGGTCTGAGACCCATCTTGAATGAAAGCACTAACAAAATAGAAATGAAATGCACCAACTAAGCAATCACAGTTGAAATCGAATTAAAACATGCCAAGTGTGAACAAACCCTTTAGAGTAAAAAAAGTAGGGCGGGACTTGACTTTATCCATTAGGAATTGATTGCGTTTACCAGTGAACTAATTGAACATTATTAACTTATCTAATGAAATTTTGTTTGCTGGTCCCACAACAATGATGTCTGAGGGAACACGGAACATTCTGGAGGTCATGAAAGCTCGTGGAATCCGCAAAGTTGTTGCATGCATGTCAGGTATGTCTCATTCAATAGTGTGTAAGTGCATATTTGCATATGAAGAATTTGTCATCGCTCTCTCTTTCTCTTTCTCAGCGTTCCTCCTGTGGGATCGTGCTAGAGTTCCTCCTCGCCTGGTGCCGGTCACTGAAGATCATGACAGAATGAACACTATCCTGAAGCAGTCAGGACTGGACTATGTAGCCGTAATGCCTCCACATATTGCTGGTAATTAACATTAAAGGTATAGCGGAGGATCTTTCCGAATTTTAGAGAAGACCCGCCCTCTCCAATTTAAAAAAAAAAAAATGCACACGCACAAACACAACACTCTTGCTCCCGAGAGGGAACGTCTTTTACGCCTTACACAATTATGTTGCAAATTCTAAACTAACTAAAAAACATTCATAAAAAAGACAACATGTCAAATGCCCTTCCGTGTTTTATTTACTTATTATACTGATCGATTGAGTGACCGAGGACTCAAGACATGGTATGTGCAACCCTGTATCACGCGAAATACGTTCTGAGGAAACTATTTTGCAAATCGCAATTACGTTACATAGCAACATATAAGCAGTGCTATTACGTTGGTCCTTAACCTAATATCTCTCATTGTTAATACGTTATTTTTATACATAGTTGCATATGGAGAAGTAGCTTGTTGCATTTGTGTAATAATAAACACACAAGGTTTTACTTTAGACAAATTGAGATGTTTACCGTGTCTATGCGGTGCATGACTCGTGCCAGGGCTAGCATTGTAGCTTGCATTAACTTTTACTAGTGATTTTAAATGGATTTCTGCAAATAGCGTGACAAACTTTACCTGTCTGGTAGAATCTTCGCGACTGCGGCATCAGTGAGAAGCCCAACCTGTGCTTTTAGCGCACGCCAGCATGTGATATTAACCCAAAATCACTCTCGTCTTGTTTCTATATTCTGCGGCCTTTCTCTTCTTATCATACACTTCGTAGACATTTTTTCTTACATTTTTCTTTCGTAAACATCGCCTTATTCAATAACATGCTAAAACTTCTGAGAGTTGAATTCATGACTGAATTGGCTTTAGAATTGTTATTTTGGTTGGTTATATTTCACTGCCATGACCTTCAACGCCAACAGTTGATCAAGAAATGCTATGATTATTTTTTTGTTTTTTTTTCCAGGTGATAAGCCTCTGACAGAAAAATACACCGTGACTGAGAACATGTTACAAGGAAGAGTCATCTCCAAATATGACCTGGGCCATTTCTTTGTCAAGTGCCTTTCCACTTCTGAATGGGATGGAAAGACAGTCGGAGTTAGTGGGGAATATAGTTAATCTACTCAGGGCTTTGTTTAGGTGCTCGGAGTAATTTCTCTTTAGTAGTACTAAAAGCTCTCAGTACAGAGAGGGGGAGCTGGACATCATTTGGCTCTGCAGTAAGCAATATATTTTAACAGAGAAAGTTTTTATGATTCTGATTGTGTTTTTTTTTTTCACGAACACATGCTGCCTAGCAATAATTGTACTTTTAGTTAATCATCACTTAGAAATATATTTAAATGTTATTTTGTACTTACTGAAAAACAGATGGTTGCGTGGAAAAATTCCTCTCTGTTTTTGTTTTGCCTTATAAAACATTATTGTAATTTGCCTAATAATATAGTTTTATTTTATGTTTTTAAAATAAAGATGTTCCTGCTTGTTTTTCTTTTTTTTTTTTACATGTGTATTATTATGCGGCGAAAAGAGTATTTTGTATAATTTTTAGGTGTTTGTACCTTTAAGAACTAGTAAGTACTTACAAAACTACAATACCCAGCATTCCTGACTCGTGCGTGACGTCAGAACTGATTGAATCACTGGCGGGACAAAAAAATTCCAGCAGTGCAAACGAGTCCGAGTCATCAGCAGCATTATACAATTTATAGCGGTCAAATTACTGTATAAACTTACAATAGTCACATCGAGTGTGGAGTTGGTATACATAGTTTACAGGTGAGTAAAACATGCGATACAGACAGTAATAGTGGATAGTTACCATGCTAAGCTAGCGCACTGATTTCTGCTTACACAAACTTCTGAAAACGGGCAGATGTAACTTAGTGATTATGCCTAACAGTTAGTTTTTTTTTTTTATACCGGCAAATGTCGTCTTCAAAATTCAGTTCGAAAGAAGTCTAATTAAATTAAACATGATACGTTACATTATTTTTTAAACACGATACTTTCTGTCCTACGCGTCTAGTTTACGAAAACAGACTCGCGTTTCATCAGTTGGAGCGTTTTAGATCATTGTATTAAATAGACTAACGTTATAGGTCAAAATCATAAAACCAACCACCCACCCATATATTTTTTTTCTCTTGGCACACAATCTCATCTCAACTCTTTATTATTGTAATTTTATCTTAATTTACAACGTGTGATTTAGTCAGTCAAAATAGTTTTGAGGTCAATTGATCTAATTTTGTGCCTGTGGAAAATGGTGATCTGTGACATTATGTTGAATATCAAAAGTTTGTTTTTTTAGATTTGTGGATTAAATTTGGATTGTAAAGATAACTGGCACAGAAGGCCCATGTGGCATGTTGTTAATACTGTTATGTTATTATTTTTAAAATTTATTATTTGTAAATCATAGGGTTGTTATTGAAAATTTCCATGAGTTAGATGTATATTTCATACACCATTGATATTCATGAAAACCTATTGGCTATTTGAGTGAAATCAATCATTAATTTAGAATTCACAGTTCATTGTATATGATATTATTTTATTAAGTAAAATATGGGCAATTCACTTTTTATGTATTCATATACCTGTAAGTTAGTTATAGGGAGAAAAAAAATCAATTAAATTGCCTTAACACAATTTTAAATAGAATAGTTAATGCACTATTTTATAATCAATGATGTCAAAAGTCATGAATACTGTATTATTGGGCTTCAGCTTCTCCCCCATTTAAATACTATTATAGGTTTTCTTGATAGTTTTAGTTTTTTTTTTTTTTTTACTTTTGTTTTTGTAATTCTTTTTGTCATTTTTTTAGCTTACCTCAAGGGCATCCAAGATGTAGGTGTCTTTGTTTCCGCAGTAGTTTCAATTTTGATATTTTTAGGTCAAACCGTTCTCGTCTGTCAGTCATATAATGGAGGTCTATGGTCACCACCTCAAAGAGCATACACAGAGAAGTCCAAATTAAACATGATTTAATGACTCGTAAATGTAAGTACACATTGATGGCCTAAGACACGAAACGAGCGGTTTGTGTGAGAAAACGAACAGTATTTATATCGTTTTTACCTCTTGTAATCACAGCCACGTCCAAGGGATCTGAGGGCGCGGACGCTTTAATCTGCACAAGCGCTGGAAAGCGCCGGAAGTGATCTTTTGCACGTGTACGTCACTCATTGTTTACACAGAGATGAAGATCTAAAAGAAGATCTAAACATATTAAGATATGCAGAAAATCTCAATGGAAAACGATTTCGATATATCAACAGACAACGTTGAATTTTTTTCGCAGAGAGAGATCACTTCCAGCGCAAGCATCCACGCTCTCAGATCACTCAGAAACTAACACACTCGTCACTTCTCTCTCTCTCGGTTTACTTTGGCAGGAGTGACAACGAAGTGTCTATTTTGTATTGATGTAGGAGCAGTTTACCTAAACATTTCCTTATATTTGCACTATAAACTCAAACCCGCTGTTGTTTTGCAGAGTGTGGAATGGTGGCCAAAGGACAGAAGCGTAAGCTCCTCCACCAGGAGGGCGAGGGAAGAGGAGGAGCGTGGGAGAGTCAGCTGCAGTCTGTGCTGGACATCTCCATGGAGAAGTTCCACCGTGACCAGGCCCTTGTGGAGCCCAGCTTATTACGCTCGGTCCTCATCAACAACACGCTGCGGCAGGTTCAGTCCGAGGTCGAATCTCTGTCCGCTGTAAAAATCCCCACTAAATCACAAACTCACTCCGGGTTGGAGTCCGATTTTCCCAGTGGGTCCCCTTCGGCAGAGCATAATGCACCCCTGTTCTCGCTGAATGATGAAAATACGGAGGAGGAAGTCATGGCCTGGGCTTCAGAGGAGGATTTCTCTTTATCTTCAGCCATCGCTGTTATCCTCAAAGATCTAGACGCAGTCATAGATGCCGCTCCTCGGGCTCCGCTCGGCTCCGTAGAGAATCTAACAGGAGATGCCAGGCTCGCGCAGTCGAGTTCGAGGACTGAAAGATCGTCCAGCACGGTGCCGTCCATCAAATCAGAGGCGGCGTGTCTAGGTTGTCCTCAGGATGTAGCGTTAGATAAACTTGTCCTGGACATCGACGCGTCTGTGTTTGAACCGGAGGTGAATCTTCTGCAGGGTTTCTCCATCACGGCCGACGATCTAGTGAAGTATCTACCATCCCTGTCCAAATCTCCATCAGCATCCTCTTCCTCATCTTTAGACTCTCATGGTCAGGCCACATGGGAAATCCAGGAGATCGAGCATGTTATGGACATCCTAATGCGAACGTACCCTCAAAGCTGATTATGATGTCATGTTTCTGATGTTGAAGTAATAGTTATTTGATAACAGTTTTTAGAGGTGTATTGATAACGTTGCCATTGAAATAGCACAAGGGATTGAGTAAGACACGGATTATGATTTGCTACCTCATGTTTGCCAGTTTGTCGTGCAGAGTAGTTGATCCATGTCAGCTGATAGTTAATAGCAGTCATTCGTCCGATAGATATGCATATCTCTAGTTCTGTTGTGAGAAACGAAAGGATTAATTCCTGAACATGTCAATTAACAAATTGCTGAAAAAGTCCAGATCACTTTTAAGTCCTCACAAATGTCTCGCTCTACGACTACGTATATATATATTTTTTACTTTTAGAAATTATATTGTTCTCAAAGAGATGCACTTTTTCTATTAAGTCAAATCCGTAAATTTTATAATGGATGCTTTGATATGTCGTTCTGTCCTGAAGATTGGATTTAGATGGACTAAGGTCATTAAAATATGAGTGTGTATATTTTTACTTTAACGATATTATTATTGTATGCAGTAATTGAGCATTATGAATATACTGGTGCTGTTTCAGCAGATAAAACATGTAGTTGCCTAACTTGCCTATGCAAAATATTTACTATTGAGAGAATGAAATTATAATGTTTGTTATCTCTTTGTATTCTATTATTATATGTCAAATAAAGTGGTACTTGGTGACATCATGTGGCTAAATGAGGAAGTTTTATTTATAAAAAGAGTGAAATGCCCTTTTGAACCAAATGCCTTGCAGATGATAATAAGAATTATGATTTCATGTATAGAGAAACTTGCTTAAGTAATTACAAAACAAGACATCCATACCATTTTCAGGATTAGCCTTTAGAGTCTGTATGAAAAATATTAGTGGAAAAATTATTACACATAGGCCTATTAAAAAAACGACACATTTTAATAAAGAAAAACTATTGCTTTATTCTATATATCACTATTAGAATCGCTACAGTATTAAGCTAAAACATGTATAAGAACTACATGTATGACAGACAGGAAGGAAGTTTATTCTGTTTATAGGAGAGATTAGGATTGAGTAAACGTATCTACCTTGTTTATTAGCTACAGCTGCTTTCAAAACCATGGGATTGCCGTTGGACGATAAAACTCAAACTGATGGTTTCAGATCACAGTAATATATTAGTATATAGTATAACTCTTTTAGCAGCCAATACACAATCAGTTCGTCTTGGGAATGACAGATATAAGTCCTTCACACTCGCTAGAAGGATTTTGAGCCATTCTTTTTCCAGAACTGTGGTACTAACTCAATGATTCTGGTGAGGGAAAACACTTGAATCTTGGCTCGATAATATTCGATCAGATCTGGAGATCTGCAAATTCACTTTCATGTTCATTAAACCATTCTGTCACAAGTCATGCCGTGTTTATTGGTGCATTATCCCTTCAGGGCATAATTTGAACCAATAGGTGCACTGTAAAAAAAAAAATCCGTAAAAATAAGGTAATGTAGCCTACCATAAATTTCAAGGATTTTTCCATATTTGTCTTTTAGCCGTATTTTGAATTACGCGTTGCATTGTGGGAATTATATAAATATATCTTTACCTATTGAATGCATTTAAGATTGTTTACTTGAACATTTTTACAAAAATAAACCATGTTCAATTTGAATATATCGTTCTTTAGTTATTTGCTACCAAAATAAATGCTGACAATCCATGAATAGTGCAGAAAATGTAATGTTAAAGGGATAGTTCGCTTTGAAATTAATTTTTGATATGTTTTAGCTTACCTCAAGGGAATCCGAGGTGTCTTTGTTTCCGCAGTATTTTCAATTTTGATATATTTCGGTCAAACCGTTCTTGTCTGTCAGTCATAATGGAGATTTACAGGGTCCACCTCAAAGAGCATGCACAGAGAAGTCAAAATTAAACATGATATTATGACTCATAAACACAAGTACACATTGATGGCCTAAGACACAAAACGAGCGGTTTGTGTGAGAAAACGAACAGATTTTTACCTCAGCCACGTCCAATGGGCTATATGCACGCATAAGTTCCGCATTTGACGTAAGGATGCTCGTCCATTTCCGGTTGTGTAGATTAAAGCGGAGGAAAACCGGAGAAAACGGGATTATGGCAGAGTCTTCAATATTTACTGTCCTCCCGTCTTTGAAACGAAACGTACATACGTTTAGATGTAATTTTATATATAGTTATGTTTATTTAATATAATTTTAAAAAGAAGCATAAACACAACGAGGGGTGTCTGTTTTATCCGTTTTTGTGACTAACGTTTCATTAGTATAACCATGGAGTATAAAATTCAATATAAATTCTCGGTATTGCATTGGACTCTATGATCGGCGGAAGTTATCGAGCATCCTTAATCCTTCACCGGAAATAACGCCGTGCATAGAGCCCATTGGCTTTTATACACAGCTGCACTACTTCCTGAACTTAAGCCAGCTCCTTGTTTCCTGTCGGCCATTATTGGCCAAATTGATTAATCCAGGTGTGTTTGACCTCAGTAGTCACGGCAACAATAATCAGACACACCTGAATTAATCAATTTGGCCAATAATGGCAGACAGGAAACAAGGAGCTGGCTTAAGTTCAGGAAGTAGTGAAGCTGTGCATAAAGTCGCTTCAGTCTGCGCATGCATGTCATTCATTGTTTATACAGAGATTTCGGAAGTTTTACCTTTCACTGTGAAGATCTAAGCATAGATATACAGGAAATCGGAATGGAAGACGATTTCGATATATCTAAATATGTTTAGTGAAAGGTAGAACGTCCGAAATCTCTGTGTGGATCTCTTCCGAAATCTCAGATGCCCTTGAGGTAAGCTAAAACATAACAAAAATTATTATTTTTTTGATGAGCTAGTGAACTATCCCTCTAATATACAGAATTTTCTGTTTTAGGGTTGAAGGAGCTGTCATTTAACGGTAAATGTCCTGGTAATTTTCTGCCAGCACATTATCCGTTTTTTTTTTTAACGAAATTATTTATAATGGTCCTCCAGAATGGTTTGGTAGTGCCTAGCAGTGACACGTCCATGATAGAATACCATGATTTTGTAGCTCAAACCATCACTGATCCACTCTGGGCACGCAACACAGTTTTATGTGTCTTTGGGGTTTCTCCACACCGTGACCAAAAGACAATAAAGGTGAACTCATCAGAGAGCAATACATTTTTCACATTGATAGTCCACAGCCCAAGGTTTGCACTGTTCGCATTGGCATGAGTGACGAATTGTTTGGTAATAGCAACATGACCATGAATAAAGACTCTGTGGAGCTTTGGTGAACAGTTTTGGTGGAAACAGGAGTGTCGAGTTGGGCAGTGGTGTGTTTTTTGATCCTTATCCTAGACACCAAAACTCTCAACACACCACAAAGACTTGTCACAGATGACAAAAATAACGTGTCTCCCATTATGTTGTGTGGATTGCAACCTTCACACTCAGGCCACACATATATTGGCGTGAAACCTCCAACACTATATTAGCCAGTGTTTCAGTTTCATTGTCCAGCCGCTGTATTTAAAAGTTTTCTTAGAAATAATACCGGATGTGTGTCGTGAAACCTTCCTGTACTCCACAGCTACACAGACTCATGATAAATTTCATCACACAGTCACAAAGTACCAAAAACGTTTTTATTTTATTTTTCTGTGCATGCATTTCTTAAAACACCTTTTGTTCTGACATGAATAGACACGTTTTTGTTCCCTACCATCCAACATTTACTATATAATAATAATACAAAGAACAATGAATGAATGTGCAATACCACAATAAAGACTGTCCAGCATTCAGTCATTGGCTGTCAATTATAAAATGTAAAAAGCCAGTTATAAAGTGCTTCTGAAGATCCACACATCCCAAGGCATAAAAAAACAACATTAGCTAGCTCAGAAAGCAATGATTCAATTCATTTCATACTGGACGGCATTGTCTTCCTGTTCTTCTGTCCAGATTGCGAGGTCTTGGTCCAAAAAAAAAAAAAAAAATTAATAGTCTGGAAATATATCTGAATATGAAAATAGCAATCAGTTACAAATCCTACACAAAACCACAGAGAACATTCACACGTAGGACACAATGAGCACGTTTTCAATTTCCTAAAAGAATGGCAACATTACTAAAGTCTTGAAGATCAAATTTGAAAACTCCAAACAGGGAAAAAATAATCATATGGTTCATGAAAATGGTACAATCCACCCAGATGCTTTGTTCCAAGATGTTCTGCCCAACAGTGAGGTGTGTTGTATTGCAAGTGTTCATACTCGACTGACTTGACCTCGGAGGTGCTGCAGTTAAAGACAACTTACCAGTGCAGGACACAGCAGAAAGAAGTGATCTTATGCGAATGAGGAAAGATCTAGTATTTTATCCATTTATGGAGTTGTAGGACACTTGAGAGTTGGGATCCCGCTGCTTTATTGAGGCCTTCTCAGCCTCGGGCGATTCGTCATCAGGCTTGCCATCTATTATTGGCTCTTTATACTCATCTTCCTCCTCGCAACTCGGCAGCTGGAAGAAAGCGGTCCACCCGTGCACATCTGCAAGCTTGTGGAACGTGCGAAGGACCAGGAACATGACCATCAAGCCCACAAACAGGTACACTGGAAGAGAACAGAACGACAACTCATGCAACGAAACAACTTTAGATAACCATTTCAAATACTTACAAGGGAAGCTGAAATATTTCAGAGCTCTGTAGAAAGGAAAAAAATATTCATATTTATAATATAATATATAAAATGCCAGCCCACTGGCACTTGGTATGATATATACAAGTTTCCTATGACAATAACATTGACAAGGACAATATGTGTTGTCAATTAAGGGGTCAGAGATTTGGAACAAATTACCACTTGTCATTAGAGAATATCCGACTTTTCCCAGCTTTAAGAATCAACTTAAACAATGGCTCAAGACACATTAAAATTGTGACCATTAAACAATTTTCTTCTTTAAAATCGAGGTATATGAATAAAGATCACTGTAGTATTGTGTAAGCATTTGTATGTATATCAAACCAGATTCAGTATTTATTGTAATTCCAGTATTTTAGCATAATTGCAACGCATTTGAAGTACATAGAATAGCACTTTTCTGTATACGTGTAATTTGTCTGAAAACAGTGGTGTCTTTTGCAATTGTTACTGAATTTTAAGGTGTTCTTTAAACTGTGTAGTATCCTATTTAAACTTAAATGTTAGTTTTGTTATGTGTTGTTTTGTGATGACCTGACAGGGAACTGCAGATGGAAAGTAGCCCTGGGGCTAATTCTGGCATATTTACATTACTGAAATGTTTATCAATATGCATTGTCCCTTTTAAATAAATAAAATAAATAAGCACATGGGTAAAATATTAGGGGTAAAAAGGTCAATTTCACAATTGCATCCAAGTTTCCTCGGATGGATTAGAATATATTAGCAAGTTTGTGGAATGTAAGACGGACCCAAAACAGATGCGCTGTAAGAGAAAAGAACGAATTTTAGCAATCTATAGGCAAAAACTTGTTCCAATATCGTTTAAGACGTTTGCCAAGGATTGACACACAGTAAATGTATGACATCGCATTCGAAATACAGACATTTATATGAAGTTGGTCCACCCTGTGTCGCTTCGCTTTCCACAATTTTTTGGAGTGTTTCTATGGGACTATATGCCCAGTCGTCCAGTAGAGCATTTGTGAGGTCAGGCACTAACCATAAAACCCAAATATTAAATAAGCAAAGCATAAATTTAAATTGTACAGCTGAATTTGTATTAATGAATCATATTTAATAATCATTCAGAGGAGACTGGCTTTGACACAATGGTGAAATTCACTTTTTACACCTAATATTTTTCCTTCTACCAAGCCAGTTCTTTTATAGCCATGAGCCTTTATTTATTAATTTATACTTAAATATAGTACATTTTAAAGTTTATATTTGATGTTTTGATAAACGAGGGAAATTTTGCCTTATCTGTTGAAAACTTCAAAAGCCCTATCTTGGTTAAAGCCTTTCACACCCCTCACCTGTCTTTGAGCTCAACCAAAAGTTCTCTGAAAGGAAACTCAAGGAGATTCAAGTCTCTTACCCATGACTGATATCTTGTACAAAGCTCTGAGTCTCTGTCCTGGCTTTTCTGCTGGCACAAAGTCCCCCAGTCCAATAGTGCAGAGGGAGATGAAACAAAAGTAGAAGGCGTCCAAGAAAGACCAGGATTCTTCTATGGCGCTGAACACCAGCGCCGGAATCACGAAGAAGCCGAGCACCACCAGGACCATCAGTACGATGAAGTGCACAACACTGGCCGCGCGGCGGTGCAGGCCGGCCCGCTGCTGGCACAGGGAGATCGGCCCGTAGGTCAGGGGGTGCATGAGGCGCTGGACGCAGGCTGTGAGCACCAGCATGGTGAAGGGCACTCCGATCAAAGCATACACGATGGAGAACGCTTTACCCGCATCAGAGAGCGGCGTAGTGTGGCCGTATCCTGGAAGAGAGGGAAACAAGTCAAACAAATCTTTGCAGGGGAATGTTTCCAACAGGCACGACACATCATGTCAAGTCAAATTTATTTGAATAACGCTTTTTTACAATACACAGCTTTACAGAAAGTCATAATAGTATATAATAATTTGAATTTGAATTTATTGACAGGATAGCCCCTTGAGATGCAACATCTCATTTTCAAGGGGGTCCTAAAACATAAGTAATATACAACACAGACAACATAAGACACAACAACATTACAAAACAAGACTACAAAAAAAAAAAAAAAATACCTTAGTGCTTTACCATATAGAGCATGTTTTTAGAATGAGCAATATGATGCTATAGAACAATGATACGAGTGATTTAGATCTATATTGTATTTATAGGGCTGTCTAGCAAAAGTCCCAGGCACACGGTTGGGCGTTGAAGGCAATTAAGATATTTACATAA